CAAAACAAACTAAAGAACAATATTTTGAGTACTTTTCTTGATTACTTCTCTCCGAATTCATGTACATTTTACTCGATGAGAATGACTAACAAGACACAAGACAGAAAACCGTTTTATATTTCGTGACAATCTTAAAAAAAGTTTTAAACTGGTTTATAGGATGGCATGACCTGGTTGTTAGGACACTCGACTCGCAACCTGTGGGTCGCGGATTCGAATCCCATTACCAAATGTGCTTGCCCTTTTAGCCATGGGGACGTTATAACGGAATAGTTAATCCCACTATTCGTTTGTAAAAAGAGTAGCCCAAGAGTTGGCGGTGGGTGGTGTTGACCAACTCCCTTCCTTATTAAAAACTCCGAGCAGCAAACTTGATGTATAACGTTGCTCTTCACGCAACGAAAAAAAGTTTCGTGACGTATTTCCTGGCTAGAAGTTCTTTAAACTTTATAACACATGCGTGGTTGATTGTTCAGCTCACTCTCACGTGTTCAAAGTATTAATTTTGATAACCCGGTAATTATTTTGTAAATTAATAAACAACCCGAAACTCATTATTAACGTTTTTATGACCCAAAGGTAATTTTTGTAACACAGACATAATTCTTAAATAATAGGATTTACGTTAGAGATTGATTAAAACTGGAATTTAAAAACAATCTTAAACAAAAGCAGCTTGAAAACTGCACAGGAAATGTCTAAAGATATCCTAGCCATGGAAAAGTTCAGTTTAACACAATACCTGTTGCATGACAGTATCCTGACGTAAAGCTTCCTTTGTCCTTTCCGCAACTTTGTAGGTGGCGTCACTATCCATGATAATCACGTGATCAGTCAACCATGAGAACTTGCTGTATTTCATACCTGAAATAACACAAAAAAAAACAGAAACACGTTATTAAACTTGCAAATAACTCAAGCTGTTATTAAGACCGGCGTACCTGTTTTGCGATATTTTCAAATTTATTTATATATTTTTAATTCGTGGACACTTTTAGACGAGTTATTTTCTGAGAAGATAAACAATTTAGATTTTTTTTTTGCTTAATTCAAATGGAAGTACGACATCAATATTGTATCTTAGAGAGACATTCAAAACCAATGCATTCCAACCTTCCCTTTTTAGTTTCGTTGCCAAAGTGTAGGTGGCAGCTCAATGCCAAAATATGTGTTTGTAAAGAAATATCTTTAAGTTATTAAAATACCCAATGGAGCTGTATGAATAATTAATTAACTAATTACTGGACTCAGAGTAAAAAAAACAAACAAAAATAGGCGTTATTTTCGCTTGGAGGAGGTATATTAAAAATATTGCTTCAAATTAGAAGGTTACAGTTTGTTTACCAAACAACTGCGTATTATTATTAATTATTATATCTAACGTAAAAAATAAATCAGACAGAAAGCTATCAGGCATTTATTAACGCAAAGTATTCAAATTGTGCATACATATTAATTTTGACGATAGGTTCGTCTGTAGATTAACGTAAAAATACGTTAAGTTAATTTTTTTCCTTTTCTTCGACTCGCTCTGATAGATCAACTTTAAAAAGACAAGGCAGTACCTTAGTTTTTGTTTGTTTGAAGTTAAGCACAAAGCTACCAATGGGCTAACTGTGCTTTTGCCCACCACGGGTATCGAAACCCGGATTCTAGCGTTGTAAGTCCGCAGACATACCGCTATGCCACTTGGTTAAAACTTGATAACGAGGGACTGGATAATGAAAAACCTGAAGATGACAAAATCTTGTCGAAACGTCGTACATTTATAACAAAGTTTTTTTTTTCATTACCCAGTCAAGCCGCCTCAAAACTTTTAGTACCTTAGTTAAATTGTGAGAAGTTAACTCGGGAGTTCAGAGTTTATTATACTGTTACAATTCTTATACCTGTGAATTAACCCTAAATAGAATTACTGTGAGAATCCATTAAAAACATCAGATATTTTACTTTACTTTCTACGCATCAAATTGCTTGTAGATCCTTGACGTTCTTGGATAAATGATTCATGACCAGGCGGTTAGAGGGAGCTCGACTCGTAATCTGAGGGGTCGCGGGTTCGAATCCCCGTCCCGCCAAACTTGCTCGCCCTTTCAGCCTCGTGGGGCGTTATAATTTGACGGTCAATCCCACTAATCGTTGATAACAGAGTAGCCCAAGAGTTGGCGGTGGGTGGTGATGACTAGCTAGCTTCCTTCCCTCTAGTCTTTCACTGCTAAATTAGGAACGGCTGGCGAAGATAGTCCTCGTGTAGCTTTGTGTGAAATTTAAACCAAATTAAGTGATTCCAGTTAGGTCCGGAACAAAAAATAAGTCTTAAAAATATGTACCAATAAAGAGCGGCTATTCTAAGGAAAACTTATCGTTGTGGGGGCCTATTCGGTGAAATGAAGGGGAATGGTATAGTAGAAATTATAACTTATCACTGTGGGGTCTAGTCGGTGAAATGAAGGGGATGGTATGTAGAAATTATAACTTATCACTCTGGGGGGGCCTAGTCGGTGAAATAAAGGGGAATGGTATAGTAGAAATTATAACTTATCACTGTGGGGGCCTAGTCGGTAAAATGAAGGGGATAGTATGTAGAAATTATAACTTATCACTGTGAGGGCCTAGTCGGTAAAATGAAGGGGAATGGTATAGTAGAAATTATAATTATCACTGTGGGGGCCTAGTCGGTAAAATGAAGGGGAATGGTATAGTAGAAATTATAACTTATCACTGTGAGGGCCTAGTCGGTAAAATGAAGGGAATGGTATGGTAAAAATTCTTAATTTATACTTTATTTTGACGAAATTGGTGACAGTTTTCAGTCACTAGGTATCTAACATTTTAATCTATTTTAGAGTTGTACAGTTATATTCACGATTTCTCTATTTTCTTAGTAGTAATTGATTTAAAGTCATTTGCGTGAACTGAGCAGTGTTGATTTTTTTTTGGGGGGGGTACTATTCAGTGATAAAATTTTATCATTGCACAAATGAGCTTTATTACTGCACAATCTGTGCATAACTGCATGTTAAAATAGTGTTGTTTTTGCTGAAATGAGTCTTACTAGATGCCCTGTTCAAGATTCTGACTGGTGCCTAGTTTGTAAGGTAGAGCATTGGTTTTAAGACTTACGTAAACCTTATATATTAGAGAAGTTAAAATAGGTTAAAAATATTAATCCGCCCTCTTAAAGAAGAAGAGTCTTGTATTGTTTGTTTGTTGAATTTTATGCAAAGCTACCCGAGGGCTATCTGGGCAAGCTATTCCTCATATTGAAATGAGAAGCTCTTGGGCTGCTCTTTACCATAGAAAAGTGGGACTGACCATCACACTGTAACACTCCAACAGCAGAAAGGGCGAGCGTGTTTGGTGACAAGATTCTAATTTGCGACCCGCAGATTGCGATTCGAGTGCTCTGACCACCAGGCCATGCCATGACTCGCATGTATAGTCCATTGAGGTGTCTTCTCAAAGGTCCGACCAGCTAGACTAAAATCAATCACAAAGTTTTGGTGTAAAAGGAATTCGAGTGGTCAATGCTATAAGGTTGGTTGGTGTAGCGTATGATATATCAGTCTTAATATGGACTATATGCTAGAAAACTGGTTCACTTGTTAGTGCATGGCGAAGACAAGGAAAATCACCGCGTTTATCATTTTGCAGAAAGACATCCTTCACACAGAACTGCAAGAAAGATTAATCAAGATCCCAAACTGAGCAATAAAATTTCGCAATACGTGTGTCTGAAGTTATAAATGGAAGTAGAATTGTAACGTACCTATGTCAAGCATCTCACAGGGAGCCATCATTTTGAAAAAGACAGTACCAATACTCAACTACCGAGTTCAGCGTGAACTGACTCAATTTTGATGATAAGGGCTTTTTAAAAGGCTCTAATAATTCAAACAGATTGAGACGTGTTGGTCAATACAAAACTGTAGAGGTACAGTTGGCTGTACTAGAAGTATTAGATGAAAGAGGAGATGACCTGGCATCAAAATTTCAAGCGATGCCCTGCTAGCAGCCTCACTTTCTCTGTCCTATATGCATCTCCTGCTGCAAAACTTCATTATAAGAAACACACTTTTTCAAATCCTAGCATGAAATATTGCCTCATTCGCATCCTACTCAGCTCATTCGACTCCATTCTAACGTGTCGAAAAACATTTCATTACAACTGCCCTCTGGAGCGTGAAGTAACTAATGCAACCCGGGGCACGAATTTAACCCGTTCACACGCCCCTTTTTTACAGTTGAAAGGATTTTACAGTCAATTATTCTTAACTTCTTTTTTTCTTTTCTGGAAAGAAAGGGAAAAAAAAAATTTCCTTGAAATTGCACTCTGAAGCACACATTTCCAGACCAAGATTAACAACGATCACTAATAAAAATTTCTCTCCGTTCCACTGTAGAGTGCGTGACCTAATATTTTATGAAAATTACTGAACATCAGCGAATGTTTTCTAATATCTGCATAAACTCCTATAACACATTTTTTCCTTATAACACAACCAAAAAAGTAGAGTTTGATGTTCCTTTTCCGCTATCTGGAACTATAAGTGTTTCCATACAAATGTATTTACAACCACATGTAAAAGAAGTTTTTAGTATAAACAAGTTCAATCTTGTA